CTTCCTTCCTTCCTTCCTTCCTTCCTTCCTTCCTTCCTTCCTTTATTGCTCTTTTTTCTTCTCCCTCTTTCTGTCTCTCTGTTTCTCTGTGTCTATCTGTGTCTCTGTCTGTCTGTCTGTCTCTGCATGTGTTCCAAGGAGCATGGGAAGAAAATAAGCCCACCCAAGGTTTCCAGTCACTGTTTATTTCAAGCAGAGTCTTCACAGAATTAATTCACTTGTTTCTTGGCACATTCTTGTCCCACAGGCTGTTCCTGGGATGTTTCAATGTAACGAGGTCCTGGAGACAAGGTCCAGGAATGTCTGCAGGGTTATGTTTGGATGATAGAGCTTTCAGGTGATTTTTTTTCCAAGTCTACTTTCTTACTTATGCTTTTCAGAGTTTCCTGACTGTTTTCTTTCTAAAAAAATACATTTCATTTTTACAAAACCAGTAGCTTACAGATGAGCTTGAACCCTCTTTCATCTTTGATTTCATTCTCTTTCCTGCCATATACCAAGTTTTAATGGACTTAAGCCTTCCTCCTTCTACCCTCAACTTTTTTTTCTATTGCTAAGGATCAAGTCTGGTTATCCACACTTAAGCAGCCGCTGAGCCACACACACCCCAGGCCTCCCTCGGATTTCCTTATAAATTGAAGGCAGCCATTAATACAGTAACGGATTTCCAAATGAGCTGAAAAGAGGCTTTTGGTCCAGGGAACTCGGGCACTGACAAAGGGAACACGACACAATTTTCTATTTTGTCTTAAATTACTGGGTTAATCAGGCCAAAGTGGAGTGGGTCTCTTGAGGAGAAGTTGTTCTGATAGTTTTCTGTGTGTTCAGCTAAGCTCAAGATGAATACATTCGTTTTGACATTTCTCATGTCCCCAGAGCCTGGAGACGTAGCGCCAGTCATGACGGACAAAAGGCAATAATCTCTTTTTGTAAAAAAATGTATGTTGTCAAACTGATCTTTCAGTGAAATACATAGAAGCCCATCCCATCTCTGCACTCCAATCAACATAGTTAGTATGAGCTGTGGTGTCGAGTGATGCATACGGACAAACCCTGTGTTGTTGAAGCGGATATTTAATACATATAACTTTTACTAGCTATCTTCGTGTCTGTGGATTATCTATAAAATTGTTTCATATATTCCACAACAGTATATGTGGTTTTGTTTTCATCACTTATTTGACAACATTAGCATTTAATGTTATCATTAAAGTCTATTTTCTTCTTGGAAACAAAAGACAGTAACTTCACACTGAGTGATCTTCATGAAGCCAACTTATACTTTTCTCTGTGGTGTATTCGTGTGTGGTCTCCTATTTTGCCTTAATACCCATGCACAGTATAACATTCGATCCCAACTGGGGCTCACACTTGCCCTTGCTAACCCACATAGTTACTTAGATCTGGTCTTCCTACAGACGCCCATTAAGCATCTCTTTCCTGCCTGTCTGTGTGCAGGGTAATGTGGCAGTTAAGGGACCACCAGCCCAAAGAAGTGACTAGAGGAAAGCAAGCAAGTAGACCATCCATGCACTCACGTGTCCTGGATGCTATAGGAAATCTGGGCAGATTATCCCCGGAACTTGCACTGTCACTGAGGAGCTAATGCCACCTGACTGAGAACTCTCAGCTCCTTCTCCAGCACCACGTCTGCCTGCACACCACCATGCTCCCCATCATGAGAATACTGGACTAAACCTCTGAAACTGTAAGTCACCCCAGTTAAATGTTTTTCTTTATAAAAGTTGCTGTGGTCATGGTGTCTCTTCACAGCTGTGAAAACCCTAAGACATCAGGATAACGGAAGAGTCACAAAGCATACACATATCATGACATCCCTGACATTAGAGGCAGAGACTACTCAACATAGTGAGTCCACCTTTGGTGGCACTGCCTCTGGTGGTACCATAGTCCACTCCTCTTGCCCCCAGTGTCTGCTCTCTTGTTCTTTCCACATCCCTCTTTCTTCATGGTGGAATCCAGCAGCATCAGCCAACGCTCTGGTAGAAACTCAGTACTAAGGCTGTGGCCCTTACGCTGTAGCTCTCAGGATCTCCCTGGAGGGCTCTGTGGTAGCACAAACACTCATCCGGGGGCTGTGAGTTCCATTCCCTGTTCTCCACCTCTTTCAAGGCTCTGCTATCTCTAACTTGACCTAAGATCTTCACATCGCTCTTGTCTCTGCTGTCCTGTTCTCAGTGGCTAGCCCTGGGGACTTTAGTCCCTTTTTTTTTTCTGGGAACAAATCATTTCTCCAGACAACTGCCAAAATCCTTCAGGAGGCAGTTCCATCTCAAAGTTACTTTCAAAAAAGACCCCCCCACACACACAAAACAATTTGACATTATTATAGTCATTAATATATTAGTACAAAAAATTCATTTGACCTCATTGTGGCCATTTCTAGAAATGATAAACAAAGGAAAAACTAGAACAATAAGCATTTATTTTCATATGGAAAGTGGCAGATTTAGGGCATATTTGAGAAATGATTGCTATGGTTTTAAAGTACTCTAGTCAACACAGGTATAAAGAAGTAAAATATGTGTATGGTTATTTCCCATGCTGCAAGATTTTATTTCATCTCTAAATTGGAGCTCCAGTTTTAATATTTTGAAAATTTCCACAACTTAAGCCCCAAACTAGATAATTAGCTCCAAACTAGAAAATTAGCTTCATATAAATATGATTTGGTTTTCAAAAGGAAATGTGCTTGATTCCTTCTAACAGAGTTTAGAGATGTACAGGTTTCACACACACACACACACACACACACACACACACACACACACACACACACACACTTTTATGTCAACGTGACACAAGCTGAAGTCATCTGAGCAGAGGGAACCCCAATTAAGAAAATGCCTCCAGCCGGCGGTGGCGGTGGTAACACACATCTTTAATCCCAGCACTCTTGAGGCAGAGCCAGGCTGAACTCTGTGAGTTCGAGGCCAGCCTGGTATACAGCGCAAGATCCAGGACAGGCACCAAAACAACACAGAGAAACTCTGTCTCAAAAAAAAAAAAAAAAAAAAGGAAGTGCCCCCATAACACCATAAGATGGGATTGTAGGCAGGCCTCTGAGTCATTTTTTTAATTAGTGGTTGATGGGAAGGTCCAGCCCATTGTGGGTGATTCCATCCCTGTACTGCTGGCCCTGGGTTTTGTAAGAAAGCAGGGTGAGCAAGCCATGTGGAGCAAGCCAGTAAGCAGTACCCCTCCATGGCCTCTGCATCAGCTCCTGCCTCCAGGTTCCTGCCCTGTCTGAGTTCCTCTCCTGACTTCCTTCAGTGATGGACTAGAATGTGGAAGTGTCATCCAAATAAACCCTTTCCTTCCCAACTTGCTTTTGGTCCTGGTGTTTCATACACACACACCCCAGGCTGACATTTAACACACATGGAGAGAATAAGAAACACAATTGGCTTGCGCATCTCCAAACCCAGAGCAATGATGCTTGATCTGTATCCATACCCTTGTATTTGTTAAGTGAAGCTAGAATTTGCTTTTGAAACATGGTAATGTGTACGTACATAAATGAGGAATCTAATTTATCCCCAATATGAGTACTGAGCTTCTGGAATACAGGAGTGTTGTGTTCAAAGACAAATGAACCAAACAAGGTTTTTGATGAACAGGCCCATGGCCAGAACTTAAACCATCAGGGTAAAGGGTCTGAAAGGGAAGTTGACCTTGACCTATTCCTCTGATGGCGTTGGCAGAAGCCATCCCTTCACAACCAAACCAAACCAAATCAGATCCTGAGGGAAAGCTTCTAAACCAGAACGCTCTCCCCCTCCCCCTCCACACACATACACACAGGAGGAAAGACTGAAGAAGGGGGGATGGAGGTGGTGGTGAGCTGTGCCTTCCTTGGAGAGCAGGCATAGCTAGGTGCCCTTGCTGAGCAAGGTTCACAGCCAGGGATGCAGACTGTGCAGTTACCGTGTGTGTGTGTGTGTGTGTGTGTGTGTGTGTGTGTGTGTGTGTGTGTGCGCGCGCGCGCGCGCGCGCGCCTTCACTTTCTTTCCACCAAACCCCAGGCTCTCTCAGCGTCTCTTTTCTCCTTGGTCCTGATCAGGATGCTTTCCTTCTATCCCATCACTTTCCAGTTCTTGAAGTCCTTCCTTCCTCCTTCCCCTCTACCGGGACGGATCCCCTTCTCTCTGCTTCTTCCAGGAAGTTCCTTGCACTCCACTCCTCTCAGCCCAGACTTCAGAGATGGGTGGCAGCAGGTGGATGCCTGGAGAGAGGTTAGGAAGTCTCCTGGTAGGACCGGGCTCCAGCGGGGCGGGGACAGCGGGCGAGCAAAGCCAGCCCCGGGGCGGTCCCAAACTGGGCTTCGCAGCGGTGCGGGTCTTCGCCCCCAAGTGGCTGCAGCCCAGGTGCGGCGGGACAGGAGGATGTGCGGCTGGAGGCTGCTGGTGCTGTGGGCGCTGCTCCCCGCGACGGCTGCGGGGAGCTCGGGTCGCTGGTACCCGCACAGCACGGTCCTCGACCCAGAGGGCAAGTACTGGCTGCGCTGGGGCCGGCAAGGCGGACGGCTGGCCTTCCGCCTGGAGGTGCGCACGACCGGCTACGTGGGCTTCGGCTTCTCGCCCACCGGGACCATGGCCGCGGCAGACATCGTGGTGGGCGGCGTGGCCCGTGGACGGCCCTACCTCCAGGTAAGCTTGGGTCCCTTCCAGGACCTCCCTGAGCATCGATCGTCCTGGCTCACCCCAGGAGCGCGGTGCAGGAGCGGATGGGCAGCGGAGTCCACTCAAGCTCGAGGGAGGTTGACACTGGCTTGGCGTGGCGAGTCTCTCTCCCCTTCCCTGCCACCTTTTGCCCAGGGGCCACTCGCTCCCGCCCTGGGGTCCCTGCCTAAGCCACTTGCAGTTCCATCCCGGGAAGTTTTCCTCCCCGGAGGACGCTCTGGAGTCTTAGTGCCCCACTTAACAGACCGCCGCGCACCCGCCACGCGTTCCCCTCCACTCCTCAGGAAAAAGAGGACCACAGCTTTGGAGACCTAACTGGACAGGTTGGGAGGAAGGGCGGGGTGCACTTGGGGATCTTGCTGTTTAGGGTTGGGAATCGCAGAAAGTCTCTAGTGGGTGGTTTTGGACGCCCCAGGAGCGGGATCAACACTGACTACATCGTGGACAAGATGAATGAAGGGTCCTGAAGAGCTGTTTAAGGAAGTTTTGTTGTTGACAGTTTTGGGGGTAGCCAGTTTTAGCCACCTTCACAGCTCGGAGTCTAGGTGCAGAATCCTCTATTAAGGGATAATTTTCCACTTTCATAGGCAACAAAGTTCGTTTGATTCGCTCGCTGCCCATTTGCTCTTCGGGGTGCAGGGGGGAGGGGAAGATGCTACCTGATAAGGGCATCTTTATGTATGGGGAAAGGTATTTGAAATAACAGGTTCAGATCCTTTGCTACCGAACAACTTTTGGGTTATAGTGGATATATACACTTTGTTATGGGCCAACTTCCATCCAAGAATACTACCCTTTGATAAACATCATGAAAACTTGCTGTTCTGAAATTGTCTTCCCCTGGGAGGCATGAAAATGTCCTACGCCGATTTCAACGTGTATGACTCAGAAATTTCTCCCGATTTCTAAGCTGGGTTCTCACAGCATTCTGACTGAGGAGCCCTGACATTTTATCTTCAGTTCTGACCCTGACTTTGGCTGGAAATAAAAATGACAGCAATTCAGATATCCAAGCCACCCCATCGCGTTTTTATCCCCAATTCCTCGCTTCCTCTCCATATAAATACTATGCAGCTCTGACAGAATAAAGCTTGACGAGGTTCACAGTACGGGCTTCCCCACGTGGGGATTTTCTGTTGCTGCATCATCTCAGATATGAAACTTGATAGGTAAGGATTTGATCCCACGCAAAGGCCTCACTAATCAACTGGCTTAGTTAGTCTCCCATGATCTGAGGTAGGCACTACCTACTTTTATGTCTATCACAGCGAAGGTTTTTTAAAAAGCTGTTTTTGTAGAGTAAGTATCACACCCCTGCACACGATATAGAAGTGGGCATGAGGCATCTTGCTTTGTAATAGCAATAGGGCACACTTTAAAAGTCAACCCGACACTATTTTTGCCAAAAGAGCAGCATTTCTAGAAAGCCCACACAATTAGATATCAAATGAAAGTCAGAAGCCAGAGTCCTGACCCAACTTGCCATAATGGGCCCATCACAAACATCTTGCTAAACCATGGGATATTTCCATCTTGTGGGTGGCTATCCCAAGATTGCATAAGAATTAAGGGTTCTTCAGATTGATTTTGAAATTTTCTTAAAGCAATGGGTACATACTACTGTGAGATGAATTAAAAACACACACTGTGTATGTAATGAACAAGAAATAGCATTTTTCTACTCTCTCTTGGTCCAGAAATGTGTTCTTTGTTTTCATATATAAGGGCTACTCATTTTCTTTTTTGGATGATATCCTTTATCACTCCATTTCCTTAGAGATTCTACTGATTTTTAGGACACATTTTATTTTATTAGTCAGTTAACTGGCAAGAGAGCCTATTCAAAACCTTTCAAATAAAGTTAAAAAAATAATATTAACAAAAAGAAATATTTTGATTATAGCCAGTAATGCTGGGTGGGAGATTTCATTTTCTAATACTTAAAATGGACTCTTCTCCCTAGATTATTATTTGAGATTTCTCATACACTGGTATGACAAGGGTATCTTAAGTAACTATATTGAAACTAAAAAGTGCTTCTTCAATGAAGCGTATATGATTTTATTAGCAGACTTTGGATTTTATGCCATTCTGTTTCCAGTGAAAACAGACTTTGCATGGAACAATGACATAAAAAGCATTGGTTCCTGGGGGCGTTAGTGTATGAAGCAGGCACCACTAGTTGGACAATGGCATCAGGCTGTGTGAGTTAACATAAGTTGACATCCCAGGCATTTCACTGTATGGCTTTCCCCTTACCTCTCAGCCTTTTCAATGTCATTTTCAACTTACACTTTTGACTTCTTGATGCTTTGATTTTTATTTTTAAACAAATTATCTATAAACACGTCTTTGCAGATGGGTGTTGACTCTGGTATGACTAAGAGAGTAATTCCTAAGCAACCAGGCAGAGAATTTTTGGCTTAGTGGATGCCACAAACCCAAATGTCTGGAGAAATCAAGAGGGAGGCGGTCTAAGCATGGGGTGTGCTTGGGAAGAACAGGCAGAACGCAGCAACAACTGGGGTATACTAGAAAGCCAGAGTTACCTTCTCGGGGGGCTACAAATCCAGTATCGACAGACCGTTTGTTTGTTTTGTTTTAGAGAGAAGACAGAAATTCAATGTGTGTGTGTGTGTGTACTTTTGACTCACTCATACTGCCTCCCACTCAAGTCTGTACACAGCACTGTGTACAAAGTGTGCATACATGTACAGTTCCAACTGGGGTCTATCTTACAGAGGGTGTAATCTTGGACCAAGAAGGAAAAAAAAAAAACTAAGTTGAATAAATTATCAATACAAAGTATGAAAATCCATGGGAGACAAAAAGGCAAGCCCAATTTCTGTTCAGAGTGCTTATTATGGGCCAGGAGATGATTTCAGCATCTGGGGGCCTTGGCCATTATTTGGACTATTTATTCTTATGTTACAAAAAAAAAAAACCAAAATGCCCCAAACAGTAGTTTGACACAATCACCAGTATTTTGCTCAAAAGTATGTAATTTGAGCCGGGCTTGCTATTCTCCACTGTGTGTCAATTCTAAGGTATGTGGTTAGAAGTATCTGAAGGCTTACTCACCTTTATGTCTGTCTGGGACGATGGCTGGGGCCTCCCTCAGTCAGTTCTGTGGTGTGACTGTGGCCTCTCCACATGGCTGTTTAGCTTCCTCACAGCACAGTGTAGTGCCTGGTCCCAGATTGGACACCCTCAAGGCCCACATGGCAATTGTATGTGGATAGCCTTTGATGACTTTGCCTTCGAGTCATTGATGCACTTCTGGTGTTACCACAGGCTCATGGAGTCAGGAAAGCGCATAGACCTCACTTTATCTTGATAATGGGACATATTAGTGTGGCCATTGTTGTAAAATCGATTCTATACGTCTTTCCCCACTTACCACGCCTCCCATCGAACACCATCACTTTAAACCCTTAAGCGTGCATACCTGCTCAATTTCGACATTACTTCCATCAGGAGAGTAATGTTCACTTACTGACCATTCCCTCTTCTTCTCATTGTGTCCACCCCCACCCCCACCTCCGATCACCAGGAATTGGTGAACTACTGGTAATTTTCTCACTGCCCTGTTTAGCCACTCGATTTCCTCTCTGGGTACCTACTCCCCAGTATAAGATTTCTGAACCTTAACAATCCTGTGTTTGCTTGTTTCTATGGTTGCCAATCATTTACGCAGCATAGACCCAAAGGGACTACCTGTAGATGACAGGGAAACATTTGCTGCTTGGCTTACAGAGGTTTAAAGATAAATAAATAAAGATCAAACTTTGGATTTCCGTGAGTCAGCAGAACAACAAGCTTCATAACTCTTAAAACTATACCGGAGGCTTAGCGTGGTGGCACACATCTGTCATTCCAGCACCAGAGAGGCTGAGGCCGGAGGATCCTAAGGCTGAAACCAGCTCAGGATATAGGATAAAACGCTGTATCTAAACAAACAAACCAAAGAATTAACAGCACCTACACCACGAGACCTGTTAGTTATGGAAATCGACTTTGCCCGTTTTGTGACTTTTTGACCCTCTGGAGAGGGGTCCTCATTTATGTTTGACCAGCTACAATCAAAATGGGGAGGAGAGGAGGGAGGGATTGCTGGGAAGGGAAGCCCGCCTCCAGGAAATCTTCAGGATAAACTGTAGAAAGGATGAACTAGGTCGTTGACACTCATGGAAATATCCCCTGTGGGGTGCCGAGCAGGTCATTTTTCTATTCTGTCTTTCACAGCAGGACCCAGGCTGGGTGGGAAACACTCTGTCCTTTCGAATGGGTGTCTCAGAGCCTCAGGATTTTGTCTCATTGAATCAGGCCAACTCTCATTTCTCTGGTGGATCCCTGTCCTTCCCTCGTGCTTGTGCTTCCTCTCTTTGACACGACAATGACCCCACCCCCATCGGAACCATTTAGCAAATGTGAGTGCCCATTGGGAGCCAGGAACCCTGCGGATGAATGCCCAGTTTGTGTGAGTGAGAGAAGAGAGCATCATTGTCGGATGTGCTCTTGATTAGCACAAAAATGGATTCACCCTTCCTAAGGGGATAGTCATCACCAGTGAATGGAGCCCGACACATATGTCATCCTTGGTGGTAGCCTCGCTGGTTGGCCCCTTCAGAAACTGGAGGCTTTCTGTGCAGAGCAGTGTCTTGAGCATCTGGGTAATTGCTGCCAGGGCCCCTCACTGAGGAAGTGCCTGTGAGTGATCTAAAAAATCACAGAAAACAGTAAGCATTCTTTGTGGTTAACGACGTGCTTCTTTTTGAGCTCACACCAGCCAACTGCAACAAAGCAACATTGGCAAAGCACACTGGAGGCGCGCAAGCCTGACACAGCTCAGCTGCAGCATCGTTAAGGGATATTTATAAATCTCGGGAGGATGCCCCCCTCACACACACAATCACCAGATGAGGAAGGGACCTTTCCGAGGAGCTTCTTGCTCTGGGCCTGAGGAA